TTTAGGGATTTGGTCAGTCAGGAAGGCCAAGGCAGAGATGGAACTGGGACTAGCTTCCCGGATCAAGGACAACAACAAGTCCTTTTTTATTATGTTGAAGGCACAATTCCTTGGGTGATAAAAATCAATGTAGAAAAAAAGACTCAGGGGTGGGGTGGGGGGGTGGGGGGGCTCAAGGATTATTATACCAGAAAGACTAAAAGACCACACTAGTCTCTACTTCTTGCATGATAGAGGCTATAGAACTTCTCTCAATGAATTCTTGATTGCACTGCAGTATGCTATTTTGCCAAATAATCTTTATTTTAAAATTTTCAACAATGGAGAATCCACTACTGCCCATAGTTCATTAGAAATATAAGACTTAGTTACCTGGGAGATTTCTTCAAGTTTAATACATTTTGTTTGTAGACAACAATTTTTCAGCAGTCACAGAGCCCCGATAAAAATAACATGCCACATTTTCTCACATATAGCACACCCTAGAATATGTTTTTTAAAGGCAGCAAAAAGGGAAAAAAGCTCTTATTTTGTAGTATGGTTAAGTAAGTGGGTAGCAGCTGCTGCTACTCAATTACTTAACCCAGCTGCTCCTGAGCCTGCTGTCAGCCCGGATGGGGCCCATGAACCAACCCCACAGGCTGGCCCAATCCATGGCGCCAGGTCCAGGGCTGTATGCAGGGTCTAGCCATGGACCAACCCTGTGCGCCAGCTAAGTCTGGTGCACTGGGCTGGGTCATCCAGCTGGGGAGATCTCTGCAGATCTAGATCTTTGGCAGCATTAATTGTTGTGGCTCCCAGAGATGCCACTACCACCAAAAAATGTCCAGACCCAAGAGGGTCTATATATCTTGCATATGGTGCATACCCCAATTTCCCCTTGCTGATTTGGTGAAAAGGCGCGTGTGTTATGTGAGCACGCAGTACAATGTCACAGGAAGGGAGTGGCGGAGACAAGGGTATTGTAGATGCAGAATTTAGTAAGTAAAATCTGTGCAGCTGTTTCTAAGAAGTGAACAATGTCTCGCATTATGGAGGAAGGCTAAAATACCCCCAGCAGTTCTTCATATTTTCATAGTTTCATAGTTTCTAGGGTCGGAAGAGACCTGAGCAGATCATCTAGTCCGACCCCCTGCCATGGCAGGAAGAGCACTGGGGTCAAATGACCCCAGTAAGGTGGTCATCCAACCTCCTCTTAAAAACCCCCAGGGTGGGAGCCTGCACCACCTCACTTGGAAGCTGGTTCCAGACTCTAGCCGCCCTGACCGTGAAGTAGCGCCTCCTGATGTCCAACTTAAACCTTCCCTCCGCCAGCTTGTGACCATTGTTCCTGGTCACTCCTTGCGGCGCTCGGGGGAACAGGGACTCCCCCAGCGCCTGCTGATCCCCCCTAACCAGTTTATAACAGGCCACAAGATCCCCCCTCAGCCTTCTCTTTTGAAGGCTGAACAGGTTCAGGTCCCGCAACCTTTCCTCATAGGACCTACCCTGCTGTCCCTTGATCATACGAGTGGCCCTCCTCTGGACCCTCTCGATGCTGTCCACATCCCTCTTAAAGTGCGGCGCCCAGAACTGGACGCAGTACTCCAGCTGCGGCCTGACCAGTGCCGCATAGAGGGGGAGGATCACCTCCTTGGACCTGCTCGAGATGCATCTGTGGATGCACGACAAGGTGCAGTTGGCCTTCCTAGCCGCCTCCCCACATTGCCGACTCATGTTCATCTTGGAGTCAATAATGACTCCCAGATCCTTTTCCACCTCCGTGCTGACAAGAGGGGAGTTCCCCAGCCTGTATGTATGGTGCCGATTGTTCCTCCCCAGGTGCATCACCTTACACTTGTCTGTGTTAAACCCCATCCTATTCTCCTCCGCCCATCCTTGTAACCTATCTAGGTCCAACTGTAGCCTGTTGCTCCCCTCTATTGTGCCCACATCCCCCCACATCTTAGTGTCATCAGCAAACTTGAACAGGGTGCTTTGCACCCCCTCATCCAAATCACTGATGAAGATGTTGAACAGGGCGGGCCCAAGGACCGAGCCCTGTGGGACCCCACTTCCCACGTCCTTCCAGGTCGAGAAGGACCCATCCACTACCACCCTCTGGGTGCGACTCTCTAACCAGTTGGCGACCCATTGGACTGTATGGGTGTCTACGCCACAGTCCCCCAGCTTCCTAATGAGAATGGGGTGAGAGACAGTATCAAAAGCCTTCCTGAAGTCTAGGAAAACTATATCCACTGCCACCCCTGCATCCAATGATTTAGTGACCTGGTCGTAAAAGGCCACCAGGTTGGTCTGACAGGACCTGCCGCTGATGAACCCGTGCTGGTTGCCCCTGAGCATGCAGTTCC